GCTGAGAATGGGTGAAGAGCATCCTATTCCAGACATGGCAGAGAGCATGTGCCAGGGAAAAAGCTCTGTGGCTGGGGACTGGCAGCAAGACCAGTGTGATAATTCCTGGATGAGGATAGAGGATCATGAAAAGAAATAGAGCGCTACACTGAGGCACGGACTCCTATTTAGAATTTATTTGAAGTGCTGATAAAGATTTTATATTTAGTGTGTGATGGGAAACCATGGGAGTTTAAAACAACACAAAAATATCTTTATTTTGAAATAATATTAGGCTTGCAGAAAATTTGCAGATGTAGAGTGTTCCCATATATTCAGTGTTAACATCTTGCATCACTCACATAAGAATCATTGTTTCAAGGTAGAATGCTGGTGCCTTAAGATGTCTATTTTGCCACTGGCGTGTGTGAAAAGAAAAGACAATAGAAGTGCCAAGACCAACTAGACTACTATAGTAGTTCGGATGAGCGTGATTATTAAGTAGTAGCTGGGAGAGTTTTAAAAGAAATCTCAGTACTCTTATTTAAGTTTTCTGAGGGCTGACAAGATAGCTCAGTGGACCAAGCACCTATTTAGGCAAGCACAGGGACCAGGTTCAATCCCTGTCACCACATGCTGTGCTGACCCTGCCCCCAGGTGCGCTGAGCCAGCCCCCAAGATGGGGTGTGGTGTGGTGGCACATACCTGTAATCCCAGCACTGGGGAGGCTGAACACAGGATCACTACAAGTCCGAGCTGCGTAGTGAGATCCTGTACCAAATACATAAAGAAAAAGAAAGCCTGGGTTGAGACATCATACTAAGAAAAATATAAAGCTTTTTTGAAAGTGAACTTCTATATTTTGTTATTTTCTAGGAGGAACAAAATACTAGCATAATTACAGAAAAAATATGTTCAACTAAAGCAATTTTCAGCACAAAAGTAATCATTGAAATAGGCAAATAAAATCTCTTTCTACTTCTTCCTGTGTTGAAAATCAATGAGTTAATGCTGTTGAGCATTGGTTCCTTGCTATTTGCTTGTCCCTTTGTTATAAAAGAATGACATTTAGTTATGTCTTTTTCTTTTTCTTTTTTTTTTGCAAATGTTATCTGGTTTCCTTTTTTTTTTTTTGCCAAGAATGATAATAAGAACTAAATTTCAGTGTTTTAGGTAACCTTTATGTACTTAAGTATAGAGAAGAATCTCTAGCTAGAGATCATAATGTAAATATACAGACATTTTGCCAAAATTTATATACACTTAAGGAAAAGAAAAAAACCTTGAATAACTTTTTAATATTAAATTTATTGAGACATCCTAAGATTAGTGCAAGTTACTTTTGGCCTCTACAATTGTAAGAGAAGTGCAAAGTGGTGGCCATGAGCTTCCAGACATTAGTAGAGCAAACTGTGGCTCAGGTAACCTTGGTTATTGAGATTGCTGTCCATGCATTTTTAATTTCTTCTTTGAGGGCTGGCAGCGTAGTGGATTTTCTGTGATAAATAGCATCCTCTGGTCTTCCCTATATGAAAGTAACGGCATCATTTTCAAATGCCATTTGAAAAAATGCTTTTTTTCTTTTCCTGAAGTGTGTGTACATTTTTTTGGTAGGCTGTATATATCACATGAATATATGTTTAAAGAATTTAATAAATTAAAAATTTTCAAAATACTACTTTTTTAATATTCTGTTATAGAATATCAGCTTATTACTGATTGTTTATTTTTAAGTCGTTTTCCAATTTTTATTTAAAGCTCAATGAAATGTTGAATTAAGAACACCTTAATTCTGGATGTTGAATCTGAAGTTAACACCACTTGGTAGTATTTACTCTTAACCCAAGGACTAAAATGTAGCTTTTTCTTTCCTTGTGCCGTTGAAACCTGAGTTATAGTTGACTTCGTATGTATTAGGACCTCATGGGAACCTAATTATAGCTGTTGGTAGAGGTGTTATGAAGAATATGGGAGATACTGATAAAATGTTCAGAACAGCACCTGACATATAATGTGTGCTCAGGAAATATCTGTGTTTATTGGCAGTATCATGAGTTGTGTTACAGTTATTTGAAATTGTTCTAGTTTTGATTATTTTGAAGAAGTGGTCTGCATGCTTTTTTCATTATTCACCTAACATTTAATAGATACTTTCTGGGTGCTAGATATGGTGGGATGTTTTCACGTACATTGCTGTGGTTAATTGTCCTTATCAGCCCCCATTTAAGGTTGAGGACGTTTAGGCTCTAGGATGTTAAATTACTTAGCCATGGTTACATGGTAAAGGGTAAACTTTTGGCATTACTTACCAAAACATGTCACTAACACAGACATAAATATAAAGAAATGTGTAAGTGTCTTAAGATTGTATGGGGGCCAGGGAGATGGCTCAGTAGTACAAGCGCTTCCCTGGCAAGCAAAAGGGTCTGAGTTCAATCCCCAGTTCCGGGAGAAAAAAAAAAAAAAAAAAAAAAAAGATTGTATTATAGTCCTTTTATATTGGGCACTTTATGTACAGAGCTATGTAATACAGACTAGGAAGATTAGAAACTCGTGTCTTAATAGTGTTGGACATAGCTATGATAAGATAGAGCTGCTATTAGAAATTATACATGTTAAGAAAGAGGAAATGGTTTTATTCACAGGAGAAGTTCAGTTGGTACACAATTTCTTGAAAATAGGGTTACCATTTAAACTGAATAATTAGCCGGATCTGGACATGTATAAGTGGTGGGATTTGATACTACAATAGGGAAACAGTAGGAACGAAAATAGTTATGTAGTATGTGAATGGATGTACAGGAATTTAGATGGGAAAAGTAAATTAGAGCCAGATTGAATGTACTTTTAAAGCATGATTAACTATTTTCAATTTAGATGTGTGGTAATCATTTAGTAAATGTAACTGATAAACAGCCTACACACATATGGTTTAGGAAACTATATTAAGTTAAATGAGAAATTTAGACTACTGAGATTTTATTAGTGAAAGGGGAGATGTAAGACATGTAAAGTAGTGAAAAGAATGCTTTTCTAAAGGAAAGAAAGGGCTGGTGAGATGGCTCAGTGGTCTAAAGCACCTACCTAGAACAAGCTAAACTAAAGCACAGAGACCGCAGTTCAATCCCCAGCACCACATGCCAGCCAGCCCCGACCCCTGGTGGGCTGAGCTGGCCACACACACACACACACACACACACACACAAATAAATAAATAAATAAAGGAAAGAAAATGAGATTTCCAATCTTTGCTGTCACTAAGTTTTTGTATTTCAGAAGGTGCTTTTAAGTTTTGTAAGTAAAATGTTCTTAATGTATAAAGTGAACGTTACATAACAGACCTACGATGACTTTGTCATTAGTGGACCAGACTGTACCCTGAAGTCGAAGAGGTCACTGAGCACTGTTAATTACCCTAGAAGGCAACTGAAAAATTGGGGCTAGTAAGCCCATAGCAGCCAAATGTTACTCTTCATATTTTATTTTTATGAGTCTACTTTTACCTGTTCTGTCTTGAAATTCAAATTTTAAGAATGGCAGAGCACAAAAAAAAAATGATCATTATGTGAATTACGAATGCTTAATGTTGTTGAACCAGGTAAAGATAGTGCAGTAGGCTTTTAAAATTAAGTATTCAATTGATGTTGCTAGAGTAGTAATGAATACAATTGTGCATAAAACAGGATTGTTCTGAAACTTGTTGCTTATGTAGCTTCTCATAGAAACAGTAACGTATCCCTTATCAGTATATCTTCATTTTTCTCACATTGTGGGGAGAAATGGTAAACTCCATTTAAACCTCTTTAGGGACTACAGTATTGGTGGTTTACCTTGTAATAATTGATTCTACCAGACTGCTGTGCTTGCTCTTTTAAGTTGTTGTCTTGTAGTTTTTAAAGAATCTTTTGCAGACATTAGACTTATGGCTATAAATTTTTTGACTTAATCATAATGGTTCTGTAAAATTACCCATGGAGGCATCTCTCCTCTAATGCACCCCATCTAAGTACCAATAGTTACAGGAGGGCCTCAAAGTTCTGTAGGCTTTATAGCAAGTTTGATGCATTGAAATACATTGCCATGTTTTCTGGTTTTCTCACATTTTAAGTAAGTGCTTCTTAGACATTCATGTATTTAGATCAGCTGGCTAGATCTTATTTAAAGGGCGGGATATTCAGCAGGTCTGAGTTAGGCATAAAATTTTGCTTTCTTACCATGACCCCACATAATGTGGGTTCTGCTATTCAATAAGCCACATCTGCAATCTCAAAGTTCTGGGTGGGTGGTTGGGATTCTGATAGTGCTTTTAATATAGGGCCTTAATGTAGGACTAAGTTCTTTCAGAAACTATATTGGTGGTTGATTTAAAAAGAAATAGAAGGGCTTATAAATTTATTAACATGGTTGATTGAAATAGTTGTCTTTCACATTTTCCTCTTTCATGTCTTAACTCTAGTTTTACTTATTTCTCATTTGTTTTTTGTTGTTGTGGTTTTGCTTTTGTTTAATATATTATTGTTTTTGTGGATCTGGTTAGGGAACCGTTACTGTATTTTATGTTTGTATCTACATTTTATTTTGCATGCGTAACGTGGCTTTGCCCGGATGTTCTTTTTGGTAAGTTCCAAATTTATATAGCATATTGTTTTTTTGTAGTGTAAGTTGTAATGTTTCACCTTCTTTTCTCCCACTTCTAGTATTGTGATCATGCTCATGACTTGTTTTTATTTTTATTTTTTTAAAGAGCTCATTTGATAATTGTTTTCCCTAACATTTTCCAATTTTCCTTAATAGTGCAATTTGGTACTAATCTGCTTTGATTTGTTTATAGCCTCACTCTCAGTTGCTGATCACTTTTAGCAGTTGCTGTCTGGAGTATTTTGGTTTTTTTTTAAAAAAGCCTTGATCATTTAGAAATACTCTAAAAGCTAATGCTTCCATATAGCAATCATTAAAGGAGATAGTTGTAGTGAAGTTGTTTCTGTTCTTTGTGAAAATACATTTTAATTTTGTTTTTACAGCAACAGCTTGCACAGTTACAGAAAGAAAAATCAGAGATTTTGAAAAACCTGGCATTATATTACTTCACATTTGTAGATGTTATGGAATTTAAGGTATGTATTTCAGTATATAAAACCTAATAGTGCAGAAGCAGATTTAATCTTTAATTGTTTAACTTGCTTTGTTACTTGTACATAATAAAATTACAGTTCTTCCATAACCAAAATCTAAAGTATATGTTATTAAAGTTTTCTGAATTTAAAATTATTGGACCGGTGAGATAGCTCAGCAGACTAAAATGCCTGCTTAGGCAAGCTTAGGCAGGGGCAGGGGACCGAGGTTCAATCCCTGGCACCACATACTGCGCCAGCCTGCCAAAAAAAAGAAAAGAAAGAAAGAAAATTATTTATACAGCATTGGGGATATGAGCAGTTGTCTTCCATACCTGAGGCCCCAGGTTCAATGGATAGCACTCCCCTAAGAATGGTATGACTAGAGACTGGATGTGGTGGTGCATGCCTATAATCCCAGCGTTTGGGAGGCTGAAAAACAGGAAGGCTCTCACTGTACACAATACATTTTAAAAAAAATTGTATGACTAGAATATTAAAGTAAGTTTTTCTTTTTAGGACCATGTTTGTGAATTGCTGAATACTATTGATGTTTGCCAAGTATTCTTTGACATTGTAAGTATCATTTTCAGAAAAATTTCTAATTCACCTTTTTGTTCTCAAAAGAACTTGGGACCAGTTGCTCTTCTTTAAAGAATTTATATAACTAGAGTATAAAGTTTTAGTATTGTTAATTTGACTTGCTGAGTAGCTTTTACAAAAATTAAAATTTCCCATTGTATTTTTGTATCATCACTGAGTCTTGTACATGTTGAGATATACATTTGGTATTTTAAAAAAGGAAAGTGACCAATATTTTTTTCTACAAAAGGCATACTTAATAGAATTTTTTTTTAGTATGACAATTTACAGATAAAGCAAATCAAGGTGAGAAATGTCTATACTGACTTTTTTTTTTTTACATTGATTTAATGGTGAAAAATTTTTTTTAAATACTCAGTTGGTGAGATTAGTATCAAACATTTCTTAATATATTATTGTTTTTTTTTTTTTTTTTTTTTTAAACTATACCAGTTTGAATACAATGGTCACAAGGCCATTTGTTTTTACCTGTTTGTGTGGAACAAGCACAAAACTTACCTATAACTTCCAGATTTTTTTTTAGTGAAATTTTAATCTCAGAAATGGGAATAAAAATACCATAAACAGAATATTAAAATAACTACATCAAATTACTATTTTTAATAGCTGTTATTTAGGGGGCTGTGGACATAGCTTAGTGGAAAAAGTGCTTGCCTGGCAAGTGCAAGGTCCTGAGTTTGATCCCTGGTACCACCAAAAAAAAAAAAAAAAGCTGCTATTTAGATTTTTGTGTGTTTTTAAAAGTTGGACAAATAGGAAGGAGTTGAACTTGATTTTTTTTTTCTAGACTGTGAACTTTGATTTAACAAAGAACTATTTAGATTTGATTATAACCTATACAACATTAATGATACTGCTGTCTCGAATTGAAGAAAGGAAGGCAATCATTGGATTATACAATTATGCTCATGAAATGACCCATGGAGCAAGTGACCGAGAATACCCACGTCTTGGTCAGATGATTGTGGATTATGAAAACCCTTTAAAAAAGATGATGGAAGAGTTTGTACCCCATAGCAAGGTAAGCACTTATTTTTAAGTGCGCTATAATAGGCATAAAGGATCATTTAAGCATGGATAAAGTAATAACATCTTTTGGGAGAAAAATCATTATGGGCTGTGACTGAACTATTGGTGATTTTTATCTAATTATGAACTAGAGAACTAGTTAGATTCACAATAGTAATAGTAATAGTATATAGAGAGTCAGAAAATAGTTGATTTCTTTGTAGCTTTTAGTTTCAGTCTAGTATAAGTGTGTAGTATAGACTTTGAGGGTGTGTGATGCCATACCATTCCTTCCCCTTAGGTTAGTCACCTTCTGGATGCTACAATGTAATGTCTGATTTATAGAAATTCAAAGAGAAAATGGTGTATTTGGGCCCGTGGTTTCAGTTTACAGTCAGCTGGATCTATGGCAGAAATGTCATGGTGGAAGGGCTTGGGACAGGACAGCTCCTCACCTTATGAAAACAGTAGGAAAGAGCTAGAGGAGAGTCGGCCAGGGACCGAGAAATAGTCCCCAAGATCACATCCCCACGACCCACCCAGAGATACCCAGAGTTGTGCTTCACTATCTCCTGTATATTTCTAAAGGGAGTCAAGTTGACAATTAAAAAAGGTGGTGATCTCAGTTCTGCCAGTTACTATGTGATAGTGACTGAGTTACATAACTGTACTCACTGTACTTCAGTTTTCTTGATGGTAAAAATAGTATTTATCCCATAGTTTATGAAAATTAAATGAACTGCTTTATAAAAGGTGTTTAGATATATCGTGTCTGATAATTTTAGCTGTCTTACATCTTTTTTTGGTATTACCTTAATGAGGAAAAAGTGACAGTTTTATGAAAATAATTGGAAATGTGTCTTATACATGAAAAATAGTTTTTAACAAATTAATGTTGGTTATAAGGAGTCTTGACATGTGTAAACAAAATTTACAAAAACAACAGCCTTCTTGTGGCTTCTCTGCAATAGGGCTGGTTTGAGGGGCTATAGGTTAGGTGCTTCGGGGAAATGTTTAGGTACCTTCTCCACCCTCATTGTCTATAGATAAGGACTGAGGACTGGAGAAGCGCCATGACGAGGTAGAGCCATGTGGGAGCACCAGTGCCAAATCCAGAATTGAAGTCTAGAGTGTTAGAGCCTTAACTGTTCATTTTTGAATACCAAGTATTACTTAAAACTTTTTAATAATAAAATACTTTAATGAATCATGTTTTTCCTTGACGTATGCTTAATACCAACAGTTTTCTTTTGCTTTTGTCATGAAAATTCTTAAGATCCTTATCCAGTTTAATTTCCTGTTATACAGGTTCCACAACCCCAACTTGAAAATATAAATTATCCAAGTTTTAAAACTTACTTTTAACACTGAAATGACAGATGTGGAAAATTACATACCTGACTTTATGTGTTGGGGGTTGCAGTGAAAATAACAGGCACTTTAAAAATATTATACAAAATCATTTTAAGGTTATATATGTACATGAAACAAATGAATTTTTGTTGGTTTTGGGTCTCCTGTTTCATTAGGCTTATGCAAATATTCCAAAATTTAAAAAAAAAATCTGAAGCATTTCTGATGCCAAGTATTACTGTTAAGGAGATATTGAACTAGTAATATCTACAGATTTGTTAAGTTTTTGTCTTGGAGTTCATTGAGTCATTTGAAAAGAGAACAGTGGATAAAACTTTTTTTTAATGTATTACTACACAGCTTGGACTCATAGTGATCCTCCTGTTTTCAGCCTCCCCAGCGCTGGGATTACAGGCATGTGCCACCATGCCCAGTCTCAGTGGCCATCCCAGCACACCTGGGGGCAGGGCTGGTGCCCGCATAGCCTACAGTACACCCCCTGTGCTTGCCTAAGTAATGGCTTGGTCTGCTAAGCCATCTTGACAGCCCACTTTTGAAGTAAAATACCTGAGCACTGGGGATGAAAGAATCAAGATTCAGCAAATGCAAATATCCCACCATCTCTCACAACTAAAGCTATAAAGAACAAATCACATCAAAGTTAAGTAATTTGTTAAGAATATGAATTATTGGAATGGGGAGATAGCTCAGCAGTCTAAGCACGTGCTTGGCAAGCACAAGGACGTGTGTTCAATCCCCAGTACCAAATATCACGCTGGCCCCGTGCTGAGGGCCACAAAAACTGGGCATGGTGGTACAGGCTTATAATCCCAGCGCTGGGGAAGCTGACACAGGAGGCTGCATAGTGAGACCCTGTACCCAATAAATAAACAAATAAATGATTAATAAAAGAATGTAGATTATTGTTATAAGGCACTCTTTGGAGAAATGTTAAACATGCTAAGCTCTCTTAATATGTTCATGATGAGGCTGTAATTGTTATATCTTGCTTCCAATGGCTCAATTGGAACATAGTATGTTCCTGCCCCTTGAGCCACCGGCAATACATACATGACTATCCCATCAGGTGTCATGGGACAGTCCCATGGGGTCATACAAGCCCTGCCCCCAGCAGTCTTGGGACAGTCTTGCATGTACCACTAGGTTGCAAGCGAGCAGAAACATGTTAACACTCAGTGATACAACCCTGAAGTTTTTTTCCTTTTGTAAGAACAGTCAGTAGAAATTTAACATTGCATGAAAGTATGACAGTTGATCTCTCCCCCTATGATGCACCTTATACAAAGAACATGGTTCTAATTAGTTTATTTTGTAATGTTACAATGCAATCAACAATTGTATCTGATATTTAGATGGAAAGAGAAAAGAATTATTCCCTATCTTTGTTTTTCTTGTTTTAGTCTCTTTCAGATGCACTAATTTCGCTCCAGATGGTGTATCCTCGAAGGAATCTTTCAGCTGACCAGTGGAGAAATGCCCAGTTACTGAGCCTCATCAGTGCGCCCAGTACCATGCTGAATCCTGCACAGTCTGACACTGTATGGTCCTTTAGTTCACTTTCTGAATGAAATACATGATTTTTTAAAAATCACTTAAGCAGTGTTCCTGCAGTCTTTTGCTATTGCTCATTAGTTACATTTTTTATTTTTGATGTCAATAAGAACATCAAATGTGACTAATAAGTAGTTTTGCTTTAAAGTTTTAAAAGAATTATCTTGTCATATTATGGTAGAAAAATTAGAACACATAGAAAAGTGTGTAAAGAGATACTATGGAGAAAGCATACACAATTAACTGATTCTGGGGAGACACTGAGCATCTAGGAACATAAATCTTTTTTCACTTGAATAAAATTTCATATTTTGGACAAATATAAACTAATACAGAATTAAAAACATAGAAGTTATTTGCCACACTGATAACAGTTGACAGGATTAAGTATGTTAGAAAACTTTTATCTAATTTTTCAAATTTGTTGTATTTGAGCAAAGAATTGACTATTAAGAATTCCTAGGAAGCTGGGCATAGTAGCAAACACCTATAATTCCAGAACTCTGGGAGGCTGGAGCAGGAGGATCCCATGTTTGAACCCAACCCTGGAAATTTAGCAGTTTAGCAAGGCTGTATCTCAAATTTAAAGTCTGGGGATGCAGTTCATTGTGGCTGCCCTTGGTTTAGTCCTTGGTACTGGGGAAAACACAAAAAAACTGTAGGATGAGGAGAGTGATTCAGTGGGCAATTTTTAAGAGAATTTCTTTTAATCACAAATGTGAATAATTTTCAGATGCCTTGTGAATATCTCTCTTTGGATGCGATGGAGAAATGGATTATCTGTAAGTAAAATGTGTTAGTTTGGAATTACTTCTCAGATTAATTAAAAAAGAATAGTAGGTAACTCTTCTGTCTTTGTACAATGCTGTATGCTAAGTCTGTATTATAGATGATGAGGAATCTAAAGCTTAGACCACACAGCGAGCCAGTCACACAACAAGATAACCCACGCTAACTTAAAGCTCATGAGCTACATACCTTGTCTTTAGAATATAATTTTCAACATTAAATTCCTGTAGAGTTTATGTGAATTTTTTTATACCAATTTTGTTTTATTAAGGTTTTAGATTTTAATTTACTTTATTACCTCTAATGATTCATATATTTGGCAGTTAATTATCTATACTTAGGAAATCACAAACTAGAGGGAAAATAGATACACAGGTATAATGCAGACTGAGAATTGCTCATAAGTAATTCTTTTTCCAGCTGTAAGCTTACTACCAGAGGGAAATAATTTTGAATCGTTTGTGTTTTTATAGTCCTTATAGTATTTTGTTTCTTTTTTTGTGTGTGTGAAATTATTTTATTTTTTAATTTAATTTTATTTTATTGAGAAATCACAATGAGACAGTTTCAAAGCTGATTATTAGGACAGCTTCAATAATTAATGCCTTGTACATTATTATCTTCTTAGTGGTTATCCATAGTACAAGAAGCAGACAGGATATCCTGTCCAAACCCTATTAGTACAAATCTTTCTTCTCACTGAATTAAGCGAAAGTATCTGTATCTCTATTCTAACTATTCTGTATATACAAATACAGAATGGTCCTTCCTGTGTATCCCCTTTTTTTGTTTAGTTCTTTCAGAGATCGGTATTCTATTGGCATCTAAATACTATAGGTGCTTGAATTCAGCCAAACAATCCAACATAGTCCAGCAGTCCACAATAGTATTGGGTTGACTGCAGAAGTTGTTGACTTGAGCCTTTTACAGCTCAGCATATTAATATGGCTTTACTGTATATACCTCGTTTTTATACTTTTCTACTGGATGGTTAAGATCAAGATAAAGCAAGACCTCTATAACAAAAAATGTAACTTTTGTATCTGATAAGGCCAGTCAAATCCCCTCAGGATTTATGCTGTAACCCTGTACCGCAGTTTGTAGATCCTTTGTCATTGTCAGACATGTGGATGAGTCACAGCCATTGCTTAACCAATTTTCTCTCTGAAAGCCTGAGAGAATGTTTTTTCTCCATGTGACTCTCCTTAGGTACACTCTACATCATCAATCACATTCCTCTGTGGCCCCATAATCTCCTTGATCAGAAAATTTGGGACACAACTGAGTTACATGATGTTGCAGTACAGGTTCTCCTATGTCCTGAGTCTTCACTGACCTTGAAAGGCTAGGGCCAAAATGTTGGCTGAGCTTACAGCCCTTCCTTTTCTCGCTCTTCCGATCTGCAAACTTAGGTTGTTAACCCTTCAAAAGAGAAGCTTATTATTATCCTGCAACATATTGAGTTCGGTTTACTCTATCTGTCTAAATATCAAACATCTTAGGCATAACATGGAACAGGTATTTTTCATCAAGTATTGATGTGTTGAACTTTAAGTCCTTATAGAATATGAAGAAAAAATAATTTAAAAAATAGGAATAAACATATTTTTACACCGAAATTTACAACTCTCACCGTATACAGCATTGTAGCAGGACAGTCCTGTGACATTTTTTTTTTCTTTTTCTTGTGTCTTTTTTCATTTATTACCCTGTATTTATAGGAAAAAAAAAAAAAACTTGAGAAACAGTATGGTAATAATTGGTATGTCCTGACAACTACTATGTATTTAGAAGATCAGAATGACAGGCATTCTAAGCTTGACCCTTCTATTACACATTGCTGTCTTCAGTGCACTTGCTTGGTTCACAGGTATCAGCATATATAGTCAGGGTAAGAATCCTATCAATGAACTGCTAGTTTCAAAAACCTGCTGGTGTTTCTCAGGATCATTGCCTTACCCATCTCATGTGTATAAATGTGTGTCTTTGCCCCTGTCATGTTTCCCAGCTTTTCTCCTTGCCCTCTCCTCATTGTTCAATCCTCAAGTTCTCGCTTTCTTTTTAATTGTGTTATACCTTTCTATTTGTAATTCTTCTTTTGAGTTCTTATACTAGGGAGACAATATGATAATTACATATGTTTTTTCTTCATTTATTAATTTGTGGGAAGAATTTAATTTTTCCATTGTAGTGTTTTTCTAGTTAGGGTGAAGGACTAGTTTTTCTTTTTTTTTTTTTTTTTGATTGTCATTTTAATAAAATAATGCATCTGAATCACTAGAATTCTCAGAAGAGTGCAGTAGTAAAAAAAGACTAAGAGGTTGTAGTTTTGGTTATTAGGTTCAGCTTAATCTGACAACTAGATTATTAGGTTTCTGCTTAGAAGTCATTGTCCAGTTTCATGGAAATGTTTAACTACTTTCAGTTTGTATACTTACCTGGCACTTTGAGTAAACACTTTGTAGCATGAAGGAAGTAGTTTATTAACATATACTAACTGACCTTAGCCATTTATCAGGCATTTTCTTTTTTGCCTTAACTGAAACTTCTGATATTTTTTACTTTACTATGATTTGTGTTATTTAATTGGAAATAAACAAAATATAACAGTTCACTAATGGGTGTTAATTGCGAGTTTTTGCTTGATCAATTGAGGTAAACGTGTTGGATAACCTTTGGCGTAATATGGGGTTATTTTCTTCCAGTCTTTACCTTAAATGAAATACTAATTGCAAGGCCTTGTGTAATGAGCAGAGGAGGAATTAGTTAACCTGCTATCCTAAGTGACAGTTTGTGGATATGGACAAGGTCTTCAGATTCATGGTAGCCACATTTGTCAAAGTAAGGAATATTTGCTCTCCCTCCCAAGTGTTGCTGTTTTCTTTTTCTTTTTTCTGTATTTTAGGGAAGGGTCTGCAGGGTGTTCAGGGTATCACTAATAGATCTATGACCTTGATCTTTGAGTACGGCCTCCCAAGTGCTGGGATTACGGGTGCGCACCACCTGGCCCAGTCTCAATTGCCTCTCAATTGTGCCCCGGCGGGGTGGGGCGGGCAGGCATGTTGCTGTTTTCTTGAACTGGTGTTTTGACTAGAGCTAATACAGTGGAACTGTTTCAAACTGCTTAACACCAGTAACCACAGGGGAGCTTTTCTTCTGAGGATATTCTACTTTCCTTATATCTCTTGCTCTTGATTAGTTCATAGTATGGTCCCTGGGCCAGTAGCAACATCTATAGATCTCTCAGATATGCAGAATCTTGATTCCCACCTAAGACCTACTGTCCTCAGTAATCTGTGATTTAATAAACCTGTAGATGATTCTGATGCATGGTAAAGTTTGAGAGTCACTGCTCTAGATTACAGCTGTTGCGAAGATTTATGGAGGTCCTAGAATGCTGAAAATCCAGCTAGTAGTAATGCAGATATAGTATCAATTGTCCTGTATTCTTTTACGTCTGCTGTTAATTGGAGTTGGGTGACTCCTTGAGAAAGATCTCTATGTATCTCTGGAATTTGGGATCACTAATTCCATTTTTGTTTTTTTTTAATCTAGTTTTATTTATTTTCTGTCTTCACAGATTTAATGCAGCTTTCGTGCTTAGTCTGTGGTTTTGTTTTTCTTTTTTAATATTTGGTGCAGTGGCTCTTTATGCAGCCCAGACTCCTAGTGATCCTCCTGTTTTCAGCCTCCCCAGCGCTGGGATTACAGGCCTGAACCACTATGCCGGGTCTCAGTGGCTAGCTCAGGGTACCGTGGCATGGGACCAGTGCTGCATGTGGTGCTGGGTGAACCTGGCCCTGTGCTTTTCTAAGCAGGAACTTAGTCTGCTAAGCAATCTCGTAGATGTGGTGGTGTTCTGTTCGCTAACTTTTTTTGTTTTAAACAATAACTTTTGTCCTTACATTGGGACTTGGTAGAGAAAAATTGTGTTTAATAAGCAATCCCCAGTCTAAATTCGTTTTCCCTTTTTGATCCTATTGTAAATACTTGAATATGCTTTTACTTATAAGCTATTAACTTTTCTTTTTTCTGTATTTTAGGGAAGGGTCTACAGGGTGTTCAGGGTCTCACTACTAGATGGGACTCGTAGTGATCCACCTGTTTACAGCCTCTGAAGAGCTGAGATTATAGGCTTGTGCCTCCACACCCAGTCTAAAGCGCCATCTCAGCTTGCCCCGGGGGCAGGACCAGCAGGGGATCAAACCCCCCACCCCTGCGCCTGCTTGCAGACGCTTTAATCCGCTGAGCTAGTTGGCCGGCCCTTATAAGATATTATCTTTAAAAAATTGTAACCTATAATTGATAAAATTCTCAGAGAAATTTTTTACTAACAGTAGCAAGTACTGGTTTTTTATATATGGAAATACAAGGGCCTTATATATGGAAATACAAGGGATGGCTGTGTGTGTGTGTGTGTGTGTGTGTGTGTAGCCATCCCTATGTGTGGATTCTGTATCCATAGATTCAATCACTTATAGATTGAAAATAAGTTGCATCTGTACTGAGCATGTACAGACTCATTATTCCCTAACAATACAATATAAAAACGTTTTACAGCATTTATATTAGGTATATATAAGTATTTTAAAGATGATTTAAAGTAACAGGAGATGTCTGTAGGTGTCTGGAAATACTGTGTCATCTTGTATAAGGGACTTCAGCATCTGTGAATGTTGGCACCTGGGGTGATGTCCTTGAACCAGTCCCCTGTGGACTCCAGGAGCCATATCAAAATGTAGAAGACTGGGGCCAGGGAGATGGCTCAGTGGAATAAAGCGTTTCCCTGGCAAGTGCAAGGACCTGAGTTCAATCCCTGGTTCCGGAAAAAAAAAATGTAGAAGACACTAAATGAAATCTCACTTTACTTGGGGCTAGCATAAGCAGTCATATAAGGCAAAAATCTTTTTTAACAAAATTTGTCAGATGTCCTTTACATTTTCTTTCATATATTTTTTCTTTTGTTTTAGTTATATACCAGATGAAATAATTGTCTTGCATTTAAGGGCACCTGTTAGGCAAAAGTGTTTTTATGTATTTCAAGAAACTCAAGGAAGTTAAATATACTTCAGTATTTATGACTGTACAGTGTATGCCTCCTTGAAGAATTAGATTGCTTGAGTATTCGCCTGTCTAAAGGAAGGTAGAGCTAAGCATAGAAGGATAAAGGGCTAGTTGTATCTAAATAGTATTACATATAAAATATTCAGTAGCTTTAAAAAAATGGAAATCTCATAGTGATTCTCATAGAAATCAGGGAAATCTCATGGAAAATAGGATTGGTGTGTAACTGTTCCAGCATAGAACTTTTCTATGTATATGTATATATGTATGCATATATACATGTGTATATGAATATGCATGTAGTGGACAGCAATTAAGTGTTGGATGATTGGGAGGTATTAGTATGGAAGGCTACCTTGGATGGACATCAATAAGCATATACAGGATTATATATTATATATTGTGTATGAGTTCCATCTAGATATCAGACAAATAAAAATATTTAGAATTCATGTAATAGAAGATAACTTAATGTATTAAAAATATTGATTATTAAATATATTTAGGTTTAAGTCCTAGCTCTGTTACTTTACTACTATAATCTTAGATGTCACACTGTCTTGTCTGCTGTACAAGATAGTCATGTGAGATTATATATGTGAAAAGGTTTAATAAAAGAAAATGTGAGATACATTATTACCCTGTCATTTATTCTGATGATTTAGATAGTAGGTTAGTTTTGGGTTTATTTTTTATTTTTTATTTTTTTTAATTTTTTTGCGGTCCTAGGGATTGAACTCAGGACTTTGCATTTTCCAGGCAGGCACTTATTCCACTGAGTCATCTCCCTGGCCACTTTTGGGTTATTTTAATAGTTGTAGTGATTACTTTGTTATTTGTTAATAATTTCTGATCTTTTCCTTGAAATCTTTTTTATATTCCTGGAAAGTTTTTATTAAAATTACTTTATTCATAATCCAGAAGTGGCATTTTGCCCATTTGTATTAGAAGTGATTTTGCAGAATACAGAAAATTATGATTGGAAAATAAATGTACTGTTATTCATTATATATATAAAATTTCTTGTCCCTTGAAAGTCTCAATTGCTGATTTTGTTTGTCAGTCTTAAAAACCTGTACTGTAATCAGAAGAATTCAACGTGGAATACTTATACAGTTGTGTTTACTTTTTTTAAAGTTGGCTTTATTTTGTGCCATGGGATCCTAAATACCGATGCTACAGCTCTGAACCTTTGGAAGCTAGCTCTTCAAAGTAGCTCTTGCCTTTCTCTCTTCCGGGATGAAGTTTTCCACATTCACAAAGCTGCAGAAGATTTATTTGTAAACATAAGAGGGTATGGTATTTTCAGTTGTCTTTTTTGGAGAAAGTGGTAAGGGCATTATCATCACTGAAGTTTTAAGAATAGAGAAGTAGACATCATGCAGAAAGTTGTGACCTGTACTCATCTACTCTGGTTTCAGCAGATTGTTTTTAGAAATCATCTTGATGTCAGTAATAATACTTCGGTGGATAACTTGGCAGATTTAAAAACCCTGGAGCTCCTGTCCTTTCAGTGCATGTGTTAATAGAGAAGGAAGAAGTATAAATCATACATTGTATTATATATAAATTACTGAAAGTACCATGTATGTTTCAGCATTTTTTAATTTTAGAAGTGTTATTTAAGAAGAGAATGTATGTATAAAAGTTTTTGAAGCAATCAGAATTTTTCACTAGGTTGAAAGAAACAATTACAGCAGTCAGACTAATAGGAAACTATGTATCCTTACAGTATCCTAAGTGATTCATTTTTAGTTATTCCCTGGAAGCAGATAAGTCTTGGAGATCTGTTTCCATCGTCATCACCATCGTCATCATTTGTGGTGCAAACTCTGGCTCCGCACATGCTAGGCAAACACCCTACCACCAAACTACATCTGCACCCCTCCTTGAATTGTGAAGGGTGAATTGTTGTTGATAAGGTTTTATTTATTTTTGTGGCTAGCTCAGCCCACCCTGGGGGTGGGGTTGGCGGAGCATGTGGTGCCTGGGATCGAGCCCTGGTCCCCATGCTTACCTAAGCTTGCCTAAGCATGAGCTTTATACCACTGATGTATCTCGCCGGCCCAGTAAGACATTTTAAAATGACTTAGTATTTTACTCATTTTGACTGTTATGTATCAACTTAAGATTGACTTGGTTCTTTGTTTTACATATAGCTATAATAAACGTATTAACGACATAAGAGAATGCAAGGAGGCAGCTGTATCACATGCGTAAGTACATTTTTATCTGTGATATTTTTCATAAAGGAGAATATCTTAAAAGTAATTTGTTGAAGTGATTAATGATGTGCACAATGTAGAAGAGATATTTCAGTAAAGGGAAATAACGAGTGTATAACCACTAAATCTAGTATCTTTAAAATTAGTGCATATGTCAAACAGTATTGAAGTATTGATAAAGTGCTTAAAGGAAGCAACATGCAAAGAAAGGACATTTGTTTCAGGTATTACCTCTTACTGGCCATAGTACTCCCCATACCAATAAGTTGTGTAGATTTTTCTGTTGCTACATGAAAATTGGAGTAACTTGCTACCCCAGAGTGCTGATATTGCGGGCATACCACCACAACCAGATGGAGCACTGTATATTTTATGAGTTATGAGGAACTGAAATGCAGAACATTTTTTTTCAGAACATTTCTTTTACTTCTGTTAATATATGAAGATAAGTTCTAATTTGCATTTAAGTTTGAAAATATCTAGGATAATAATGTTATTGTCAAAGCCCGCAAGATAGCTCAGTGGACTAAACACCTGCTTAGGCAAGCGCAGGGGCCTGAGTTCAATCCCCAGTTCTGCAAAAAAATAAATAAATAAATAAATAAATAAATAAATAACGAAAATAAAGTTGGCGAAGAGCAACAGAATAAATAGCTACAAAAGTAACACGAAGTAAAAATTTATGCTTATTGAGGTTTTTTGCTTCCTAAAAAAAAAATATTTAGTAGAAACAGATAAGCTATAATGGTATCTTTCCTTGTAGTGGCTCAATGCACAGAGAAAGACGCAAGTTTTTAAGGTCTGCACTAAAAGAATTGGCTACTGTCCTCTCTGATCAGCCTGGCTTGCTTGGTCCTAAGGTAATTAATTTAATTTATATATAACTTAGTTTGTAAATATTTTAAAACATTTTTCATACGTGAAATTTTTGTAAAGTTTGAGTCAGGGACTACATACAAGGATTTTTACAAGAAATTGTAAAAATTGGCTGTATTGATAGTTATATCTCACACTTCTGTGCACTTTTTTCATTTTTTAGCTATATATTCTTTGTCTCATGTATATTTCCAGGTTCTTTTCTTCCTCTCATGTTATTGGTTTTTTTTTTTTTTTTCCCTCTCATGGTATTCTTATCCTCTTCAAATTTAATACTTTAATTTCTTGCCAGTGACTTTTCACTTTAAGAAAGATGATGAATATTTTGTTTTCAGTCTTTGAGTATAAACAATATTCTTTTTTAATAGGCACTGTTTGTTTTTATGGCATTATCTTTTGCCCGTGATGAAATTATCTGGCTACTTCGTCATGCAGATAACATGCCAAAGAAGAGTGCAGATGACTTTATAGATAAGTAAGTTAGTGACAATAGAAAATCATTTTTTGTTTTGATTTATAGATTGTGGAATCTGAGGGTTTACATTTCTAGCAAAGTTATTTTGGACAACTTTTGGGGTTTCTTTATACTTGTCATAATAGGAATATTTGTGGTATATCATTAGGTGATACAAATTAGAATGTAAGGACAACTTTAGCTTGAAATTAGGACTTTTAATATTTTCTCTGTGGTACAGTAGATGGTGATAGAGTGGTTTATTTTCTTGCTGTGCTCAGTATTATGTATTTATTTTTCAAAACTATTTTTAAACCATTTAAATAAGAATTCTTACGAAGTATATTTGAGACCTGATATGTCATTTGAAGTGTCTTCTCTCTTTTTAACCTACAGTTTCTCTGTAGGAGTTTGGTAAATGAAACAGAAATAAGAGCATATAGAAACATTTTATGTTTTGTAATTATTTTTCATCTGTGATTTGTTAATGATGCTGTAAGGTGTCCACGTTTTAATTTTGGGTTTATCAGTTTTTAGTCTTGGTGTCTGTCCCTTTTCTTGACTTTTTTCATATGAAGTAATTTAAGAAATAATTGATGTTAAATATAAAACAGTGCTCTTAAGAAAAAAGTTCTAGAAACAATATGAAAAGTAATGTTTTCTTTTATAAAAATTTATTCTTTGAACTATTTTTTTCACTTGTTAAAAAGGCACATTGCTGAATTAATATTTTACATGGAAGAACTTAGAGCACATGTCAGAAAATATGGACCTGTAATGCAGAGGTATTATGTGCAATACCTTTCTGGCTTCGATGCTGTTGTCCTAAATGAACTGGTGCAGGTAAGAAGAGCTTCTCATGTTTGTTTTTTCTTTCCTGCATTTTTAGTAATTGATTTGATATTTAGTGTATATTTGTAAACTGTAATCACAGCTGGGTGTGATGGTGCATACTTGTAATGTCAGCAGTCTGAGATCCTGAGGCAGAAGGATCACAAGTTCAAGCCTAGCTTAGCCAACTTCACAACTGTGTGACACCCTGTCTCAAATAAAAAATGAAAAATAAACAGGACATTGATGTAGTTCTTTGAAAAGGTCCTGCGTTCAATTCCTGGTACTGAAAAAAAAGAAAAAAAAAAAATATGCTGAGCAGTAGAAATATAGGTAGAAATAAGTCATGATCTTAAACTGTTGTACAGATTATTTTCTAGAGGCCAAAGATAGTTGTAGTCTAGTGTGATAGATATTATGCATGTAATGTGGAAAGTTCAAACTGAACACAGTGACAATGGAAGTTGCACTCACAGGACTTGAGGAAGTAGAGGAGGTTAGTCCTTAGTCAGATTTACTATTTAGAAGGATCACCCTGGGATAGAAAAGTGACGGATTTCTGGAGGGCAAGAGAAAATGCAGAAAGTCCAGAAGCAAAAAACATTGCTGCCCTCAGCTAATGAAATCTGATGAGAGCCAGAACTTGACAGTAGTTATGGAGATAACATGAGACAGACAGTATATTAGACAAGTATTAGAGGAAAAGTAGAAGAAAAGTCATTTTGAGTAGTATAGTAGAAAATGCCCAGTAAAAAAGATTTCATCTAGATACTCTAATTTAAACGTCCTAATTTTAATTTCATTTTGAGTTTTCCTTAACTACTTATTAGTTTCAGCTTTTAAAAGCATGTATAATTTTTGTTCAGTCTTTTATCTTATGTAAATTTCCTTCAATTTTTATTACAAGAAAACGTAAGGAGTAGTATTTTGTTTCACTTTATAGAGGTCTAGAATTAAGCCAATAAATGGTACAACTAAAAAAGCAGTAAAATTTATATTAGGGAACCAGGTGTGGTGGCACACACCTGTAAACCCAGCACTCGGGAGGTTGAGAAAAAGAGGATCACTGCGAGTTTGGGATTGGCTTTGAGGCTATAAAAGTGAGCACACACACAAAAAAGTTAGAACTACTCACTTGCTATTGGTTTTCCTAAAGCACATCTATTTCTTCTTATATCCACTAGATGGGGCTCAGAGAACACCTTCTGGAAATACAAAAAAAAAAAAAAAACAAAACACCCCAAAAAGAACAGAAAACCATTAAGTAATACTCTAGAGTATTTAAAGTAGCCTTGTAACTATATTTATCAATAGTTATTACCATTGCCAAAGGTTATGGTTATTGTTTATATTAGCATAAATTCAAAAAGGGAAAGCAACAAAAGCAAAATGTTTATATAAAGTGCAGTTTACCAGTGCTGAGAAAATTCTTAATATTTTTTATGATTCTAATATTAATAGAAGCATTAACAGGAGGAATTTGTTATACTGATACTAAAGTGGTTAGATTTAATCTTGCTACATTCATATAATAATTCTGTGAGGATAGTTGTAATTCCTTGTGAAGAAAAAGATGTAATTTTCTTAATATCACATGGTTCATAAGGCATAGAGCCAGTATCCATACTCAAGGCTTACCTCAAGTCTGAGCTTTTTACCATCTTCTTGTGTGTGAAGTACATTCATAGTATTATATTTTTAATTTTTTGCTGAGATACAAAATTTAGACTATTGAAATCTTTATATTACAGTGTTTTTTATTGTGTTAAAATATATATATAACAAAACAGCATTTTAACCATGTAAGGGTATAGTTTAGTGTCATAGTTACATTGTTGTGTAGATCTTACTGTTTTGAACATTATCTTTATGTGTGTTATTTGTGGCTAAGCATCCACATTTTTTCAAATATTTATTTTCTTTCTCTGTTTATGCAGTGCTAGGGATTTGGAACCCAGAGCTTATATAATGGCAGGGAAAGGCTTTACCACTGAGTAGCCCTCACACATTCTTTTTTCTTAACCACTTTGAAAAGTGTTTTGGGGGAAGAATCCCCAATTGTGTTGAGTAATTTACATATATTAAAAATGCATCCATTTTTAGTGTAGTTTTTAAATTTTGACAGTTGTATACATTCATGTAACTGCCATTATCACATTAAGAACATTTTGAACATTTTTAAAACTTTTCTTTCATACCTTTACAGTAGATTGTCACACACCCCTAGTAACAATTGATTTTTTATAACTACAGTTTTGCCTTTTAAGACAATTTATCATATAGATAGAATCACACATCGTATAATATTATTTTCATTTCTTTCACTTTATTTTTTGAGAGTCATGTGTGGTATGTATCAACATTTTATCATCCCACTTTGTTTTTGTATTGCTGGGAGTGTGGGGTGAAGGCAGAGCCCAGTGCCCACTATGGAAGCTCTACATCGTGGAGCTGCACCCCAGCCTTCATTCATTTTGATTTCTAAAATAGATTCCATCCTAGAGCCAGGGAGGTAGCTCAGTAAAATAAGCACCTGCCTGGCAAACGCAGGGTCCTGAGTTCAATCCCTGGTACTGCAAAAAAATTCTATTTGAAAAAAAAGTTCCATCCTATGGATGTACCAGGTTTTTTTTTTAACCTATCTGCTAGTTGGTGGACCTAGGAGTTATTTCCCAACTGGGCATTAACATTACTCTCTGTTTTGCAGAACCTTTCTGTGTGTCCCGAAGATGAATCAATCATCATGTCCTCTTTTGTTAACACTATGACTTCCCTAAGTGTAAAGCAAGGTAAGTCTTTTTAAAATGTAAAAGCATGTTTTGTTCTAATTAGATTTTCAAACTTCACAATTAAGGAGAAATTTAATTTTTATAGAATCATTTATCTTTTAGATGTACTTGATCTATTCTCTTTTGTCTTGATTTTGTTTTCTCTGAAAGCATAGTTTTCCAAAATGGGTGTGAGATATTTACAAAAATCTTAAGAATTTTATCTTAATATTTCTTAGGAAAACAAAGAGGCATTTAGTAACAAAGTACAAAGAAAAAGTAAGGATGTTCTGATGTGATGAAGTGTATGTTTGGTCCAGGCATAACTATAAAAAGTGCCAAATACTGTGCATGAATCGTTTTGTTTGTGCAGTGTCATTTATAGAGCAATAATGGCAGACCTTGCAGAGGCAGATGCTGAAACTACAATCTAAAACCCACTTATTTATCACAAAGTGCCAACTCTGCAGTTAAACCTAAATAGTCAGGTTTTAGTTTAGAAAAAATAGTTTGTACACTTGGCTTGTGTGCCAGCAGGGTCTGAGTTCCTATTGCAGAATGTGTGCCATAGATACATCACCATTACTGTATATGTTCTCTTTTAAATCTACCTCATTAAAAAAAAAAAAAATCACTGTTACTTTTCTTTGATAAATTGAGAATGAAAGATTTGAAAATAAACCTATCAGTTTTATTTTCAAAACTGACATAATTTTAGCATAATTCCTGCAAAACTTTAAGGTCTATTAAGTAAAAATAGATATTTGAGCTCAAGTCTCTTAATCCAAAACTTGATTAGTATAACAATCATCTGTCCATTATTTGAACTATCCATTTAGGAGATTGATGTTTTAGTTTTGTAGTCTTTGAAAAGAAAGAATCATAAACCTCAAAAACTTCTGAGTAGTAAATATATAAGTATTATAATCAATCTTCATGTTTACTACTTTTAATTAATGAAACTCTAGTGTGGTGACATTTGTTTATATACATGGATTTTTGTGGAGATTTAGCATTCTGTCCAAATTTTCTATTCATAGAATCAGTCAAGTTTTATATTTTTCAAATAGACATGTAAGCACATTGAGAATTGGACAGCCTAGGGAGAAGTGTACTTTGCAGGCTTTGTATTTTAGTGTTTCAGCTCTTTTAAAAATTTGTCTTTTGATTGTAAAGTACACATAAGGTAAAATTTATGATCTTAACCATTTTTGAGTGTGTAGCTTAGGTATATTCATTTTTTAAAATTTTTCATTTGTACATGTAATGTCTATATTCATTTTAGAGGGCAAGTGCATATACTTCACATATCTTCATTCTGGAGGGGCTGGGGAGATGGCTCAGTAGAATAAGGGCTTGCCTGGCAAACACAAGGCCCTGAGTTCAATTCCTGGTTCTGTCAAAAAAACCAAACACACACGTATCTTCGTTCTGCATTCCCTTCCCATTTGCAGAAGTCTCAACCTCTTGTCTCTTGTTAAAAAAAATTATTTATAGTCTGGATTTCTCATATAAGAATAATTACATGACATTTTAGCTTTTTTTGTCTGATTTATTTTATTTAGCCTGGTCTCTAGATAAATCCATTTTTCTTTGACTTGTTTGTCCTTTATGGCAGAGTAGTTCTCCACTGTGCAGAAATGCATTTTGTTTATCCACTCCTCTGTTGATGGATATATAGTCTACTTCAAAGCTATAGCTATTAGCTGAAGTATTACTTTGTTTTGTTGGGTTTTTGGAGACAGGGTCTTATTACTGTAGTTAAGGCTTGCCTCAGACTCTTGGTGATCTTCCTGCTTCAACTTCCCAAGTACTGGGATCACAGCCACACCCAGCCAGTTAGTTTATTTCTTATTTTCTTGTCTTGTTTTGTATGTTCGCCCAGTACAGGGTCCAGGCTGGCCTCTAGCTGGGCTCAGGTTAACTTCTTGCCTCACAGACCCAGGTCACTGGGACCCTCAGGTGCTTGCCTCCATGCGTGGCTACCTGACTTGCATTTCAATGGGTGTAATGACCTCAAGGTTCACCCGTATTGGTGTGCCAGAATTCCTTGAGTTTTTAAGATTGATACTCCATTGTAATTGTGTGCTACATTTTGTTTATCCATCTAAGCACATTTAAGTTGCTGCCACATTTGGTTATTGTGAATAATACTGATATAAACATGGCTATATAAATGTCTTTGAGTCACTGGTATTTTATTTTACTTATATACTCAGAAATTAAATTTTCTTAGATCTCACTTATAAAATAAGATTATAGGTTTGTGAAAGCATTAATTTACTCTGTAATCTTTTTTTCATTATTGCAGTTGAAGATGGAGAAGTATTTGATTTCAGAGGAATGAGATTAGATTGGTTTAGGTTACAGGCACCAATAATCTTTTACTGTTAACCTGTTTAATTTCTGAATACAGTAATTGACAAGAAAAATTTTATAGCAGGACTATATAAATTATTGAATACTTTTTGAAAAGATTGACCTTGTACAACTAACTATAAATGCAACATTTTGTATAGTTAATAAACGCATATATTTTTCATTTAAGCCAATGCTGTTTTGGGATAAAATAGTTTGAATATTCAGAATATTCAAATCCCAGTCACCCTCTTTTCTTAATTCAGAGTTTCAAAGTAACAATGCAGAATCTTTTGACATAGAACATATGTCTTGTAGCTTTAAAAGGCTTTTCAAATTGAAGGCTCTTTGTATTATAAATTTGACAAGAGAATGTATTGTCCTTTAAACATATCTACTAACTATGAGAAGAGGATAAAGGAATAATTCTATGTTTTGAGGATTTTTGATTTTTGTGATATCAAGACAGGACATAAAAGATGTTAAATCATAATAAACAGGGGCTGGGGATACAGCTCGGTGGCAGACAGACTGTGGTGCAATGTTTTTAATTTTTCTGAGAAGACATCCACAGGGGCAATAGCTGGGTCAAATGGGACCTCCAATTTTGTGGAGAATCTCCATACTGATTGCCATGGTGGTTGCACCACAATACACTCCCACAGTGAAGAAGAGTTCCTTTTAGTTCTTAATATGTTCTCAGTAGTAATCCTTTGTCTCACATTTTTTCCCACATTGTGGGTTGTCTCTTCACTCTGTTGGTAGTTTTTCTTGCTGTCTGAAAGCTTTTTAATAAGTTGAGATCCCAGTTGTTGATTCATCATGGTAGTTGCTGTGCAGATGGGATTTTATTCTTAAAGTCTTTATCTACAACAATATCTTTAAGAATTTTACCTATTCTATCTTCCAACAGATTTAGTTTCTGTTTTAATATGTATATCTTTGATCCATTTGGAATTTACTTTAGTTAATAGTAACAGATAGGGATCAAATTTTAATCTTCAGCATATGCAGAGATAATTTTTCCAGCGCCGTTTATTAAAGAGGCTATCTTTCTTCCAGTGATTGTGTTTGGCACCTTTGTGAAACATATGGTGGCTGGTAGCTGAGTATGTCTTGTTGTTTCTGCATCTTCTAATCTCTTCCATTGATACTCAAGTCTGTTTTGGTTTTTTTTATTTTGTTTTGCTTTGGGTTTTTTTTTTTGACCAGTACCATGCAGTTTTTGTCACAGTATCTTTATAGTATAATTTCAAGTCAGGAGTTGTGATGGCCCCTGCCTTGCCTTGATTGCTCAGAATTGCCTTTGCTATTCTGGGTCTCTGGTTCCAAATGAAGTTTAGGGTTGTTTTTTCTAATTCTAATGCTAAGCTTTTAGCATTTTGATCAGAATTGCATTAAATCTGAATAACACTTTTGTAAGTATATAATTTTCACTATATTGTTTCTTCCTACCCAAGAGCAAAGAGCATCTATTTTCTCATACCTACTTCAATGTCCTTTTTCAGAATACTGTAGTTTTCAATATAGAGGTTTTTGTACATCCTTCATTAGACTGATTCCTAGGTATTTCATTTTTTTGGATGTTACTGTGAAAGGCATTCCTTCTCTAAATTCTGTCAGCGAGTTAGTTAGTTAGTTCGTTTGTTTGTTTGTTTGTTTGTTTATTTATTTATTTATTTATTTATGGTACTGGGGATAGAGCTTAGGACCCTGCGCTTGCCAGGCAGGTGCTTATTCTACTTAACTATCTCCCCGGCCCCTGTCAGTGAATTTATTATTCATGTACAGCAATGATAATTTGTTTTTGAGTGTTGACTTTGTATCCAGGTATGCTACTGAATGCACTTATTAAATCTAGCAGTTTTTTAGTGGACTTTTGGGGGTCTTCTATGTAGAGTATGGTATCATCTGTAAATAATGATGATTTAACTTCTTCCTAACATTATTTCTTTTATTTCTCCTGTGCAGTTGTTCTTGCTAAAGTTTTCAGAACTATTGAATAAGAATGGAGACAGTGGACATCCTTGTTCCTATTTTTAATGAAAAAGCTTGATTTTTTTTGTCTATTTAGTATGATAATGGCTGTTGGTTTATCATAGATGACTTTTATCAGGTTGAGGTAAAGACCATCTACTACAACTTTCTGTAGAGTTTTTATCGTGAATGGATTTTGGACTTGGCCAAAAGCTTTTTCTGTATCTCTTGAGACTATCATATGGTTTTTGTCCTTGGCTCTATTAATATAGTGTATTACATTTATTGGTTTACATATGTTGAACCAGCCCTGCATACCTGGGATGAATCACAATTGGTCATGGTGTGTAATCTCCTTGATGAGTTGCTGCCTTCTGTTTGTCAGTATCTTCAAATTGAGGATTTTTACATCCATGTTCATTGGGGAAATTGGTCTGTGATTTTTATTTTTTCGATGTAGTTCCCTCTTCTTTTTTTTAAAATTTTTAAATTTTTTATTGACATCAGTTATTTTTATTTTAAAGAAAGAAAAAAAATAAAAACAGTGGTACAAAATCTCAAAACAAGATTTTAGGAGAGTAACAATGGTTAGTACATTGTGTATTGTTATTGCCAGAGTAGTTTCTCATA